GCGGTTTCTTGCGTTAGTCTCGACGGTGGTACAGAGAGCTGACCGTGCAGTGGCAACGGCAAATTACAAAACGTAAAATGTGTCGAGAAAAACCACAACAACCAAAGTACAAAAAGCTGGGGTTGCTTCTGCTACGTCCTGTAAAGGATACACAACTAATTTTTAAATACCTTAAATGTCACCGATTATTAACTAGGGATGGGTGCTCAAGTGGTTTTAGCCTTGTTTAACGGAACAATTACTGTTTTAACTGTAAAGAAGTCGGGCACAGAAAGAGAGTGACTTCCTTTGCTATTCATGCCTTGTCGTGTCGCATGTCCTGTCCTATGATGGTTTTAGCCTTGTTTAACGGAACAATTACTGTTTTAACTGTAAAGAAGTCGGGCACAGAAAGAGAGTGACTTCCTTTGCTATTCATGCCTTGTCGTGTCGCATGTCCTGTCCTATGATGGTTTTAGCCTTGTTTAACGGAACAATTACTGTTTTAACTGTAAAGAAGTCGGGCACAGAAAGAGAGTGACTTCCTTTGCTATTCATGCCTTGTCGTGTCGCACGTCCTGTCCTATGTTGCATGGCTGTCATTCTTAGTGAGCACCCAGCAACACGCCAAATTTTCGCGTTGTTTTCAACGGCCGGCGATATCGAGTGTTCTATATTCTACGATGAGATCGCTTTTAACGTCTCAAAACATGTAGAAATGGTTCTGACCAAACACCCCCCCCCCCCCACAGCATCACCCTACGTCCCACAAGAGACTGCAGCCTACGCCCCACTACTGCATGCAGTCTATGACAACAACGCGTAAAATATATCCTGTTGCTGGAAGCTCACTAAGCGTGACACCCCCGCAACAAGCCCTGCGACACGACCAGGCATGAATGGCAAGGGAAGTCGCTACTTTCTGGGCCCAACTTCACCAGTGGAACCCATTGCGCAATTAAACAAGGCCTGGCCCCGCCCTCACTCAAGTGTTTTCTCTGTCGCAGTGTGACAGGTGCTTCTATGATTACAAATGGCATCCAAATCGAAAGATAAAAGACTGTGCAATATAGTATTTGTGCTTTCCTCGTATGAACTTATTATCTTTGTTTATAACAGAAGACCTTTTCACGACAGTGGCACACTTGGTATTTGACGTTGAACTCCTCTTTTTCAAAGACCAGGCAGGGTTATAGCCGCCTTTACTTTCTAAGATCTAATATATTACCCAGTGCTCACTTTCTACTGTGTAGACCTTGGAGTCACAGTATTTTTGTGTTAAAAAATAAAATCGGCACGTTAAGAATACGCACCTTTGACAGCTAATCGACTGTCAAACCACAGAGCTATCATTTGTCCAAATAGAAGCTTTGTTCCGTTTTCAGCTGAAATCCATTCCAATCATTCTTTTTAACAGCTTGGAGCCTCGTTTTAACCGTCAACACGCCGTCTTTCTGTAATGCCATCACCGTACCCAGGCTATTAGCAGCTGTTTTGACCCATTATTCAAATTATTTATGGGTGAGTTTTATTATATTAGTTACTTACACATTTTGTACCAACAGAATTTCTATTTCACTAAAGTGTACGCGTTGATTTGTTTCGGATTTGACCGGGTTAAGATGAAAACCGGTAGCGGAAGCATGGAGTCCCCCATATGCTTGTTGTTGTGGATAAACTTCCTGCTTCCTGTGTTGTCTCTTTTAAACTAACTGTTTAGGATCTTTTGTATATTTTTACAACTAGCCCATGTCGGAATTGCATTATTATAATCAGTTGAATAGAGCCCATGTTTAGCTGTGTTTTCACCATGAGCCTTAAAGCCGCATGCTGTTTTTCTTTGTGGACTTTTGACACATTTTATTTTGTGGTTATAAAAAAGTAATCCAGAACCTAGGACGAGTCTTAATTAAAACCCAATGCTTAGACTTAGATTAAGACGACGGATATTTTTAAACTGTTGCAACTATAAGGACTGGAGAAATACCATTAACATTAAGACCTCAGTGAATTGAATATCAAACCAAGAAGAGACACACGATCGTGTACTTAAGTCCAGTGTTCACGAGGGTTATTTTCTGTGCCATTTGACAAAACAGTGTTTTAAACACTGGATGGAGGATGAATCATGATGATCATAATCAGGTGTGTAATGAAATCCAACAGATAATAGTACTACATTTTTGGTTCCCAGCAGGCGTGGGGCGGCAAATCGGTTAATAATTTATATTGTAAGTTTTCTCATGTTTTCATATTCAACTGTCTGAATAATATTTTGTAATTATTTAATGAGGCATGTTATGTTGTGTGGAGAAGCTGGCATTTAGGAGTGAATATAGGTTAAAATGAGGTATGAGTTGAGTTGGATTATCTTCACACCACTCCGGACACATCCATAGAGGTGCTTAAATTCCCCTCTTAACATATTCATCAACGTCGTGTGGTTAATAGCGCCAGTCGGCTATCCTCCAGATAATAGCCACATATTATGGCGGTCACAAAAACACCCTCAGACACATGTAAATTGCAGACTTCCGGCGACTTAAATTGTGCCCTTCGACTTCGACGACTACCGCTGAGAGTATCTGACCCACGCCGCTAGGCCTGGCGTTGATTGGGGCTAAACTTAAACTAGATGACTGATACTCACGAGCAGCAGCTCCTGCAGCTTTGCTAGTGAGTCCCACCCATCTAGTTTAGCTCCAATCCACGCCGAGCTTAGCGGCGTGGAAGATACTTTTGGCAGTGACGGTATAGTCGCAGGAAGTCCGCAAGTTACATGTGACTGGGGCCCTGTTTTTGCCCACCATAATATGTGGCCGTTATACAGAGGATAGACCGCCGGTCCTATGCTGGTTGACAAGACTTCGCATGCGTCCGGTGTGCTTCTCATGCTCGGCTGTGTTGATCTTTACTCTCAGTTCTCATATTCTTAGGAGTGATGTGGACACATTGCTTCCAAAATCCTTAGATCGTCCTATCTGTCTAAGAGCATTGAAAATGTTTGCATGATCTATGGGCTGGCCATCTTCAATTAATGTAGCACCTGCCACTCTATTAGCTCTTTCATTACCACCACCATTGCATGTCATGCGACAAATAGAAGGGTAACTGCACACACAGGGAGAGTTTTGCAATGACTAAATTCACTGTCTGCATTGGAGCCTGCCTCGACCCGCTGGATCATTTCAAAGAATCACACAGCGCGCACATGCAGGAATAGTCCTGTGATTCCACCCACATGAAAGCTTGTGTCACTGCCATCACCTCCATCATCATGCTGCTGGTAGTCATGGAGAAGACACCGCTGGCTTCTTGGACTGTTCTGCCTGAAGTGCGAGCTGTAAATGCCCATGCACTCTTGAGTCCTTGTATAACAGACCTGTGAAAGGCAAGACGGACGTTAAATCAGAATGCTACTGGCACCATTAGTATCGAAACTCTTCACTGGCTGCTGAAGATGGGACGGAGCGCTACTGGGAATGCCCCGAGTGCTGTGACGTCGGTTCTTGAATCAATTCAAATCAAATAACAGACCCGTTTGTAAAGATCAGCACATCTGTCTCATCTGACTTGTTACCTGATAGGTGCGCATACCTTGGCATTCACAGCAGCGGGATTCTGCTCCCTACAACTCCTATCAAGCGCCACGACTTAGGAGAATGTGAGATTGGGCGCTTTAGATGCTAGGAATATGTTAAAGTCGATCAAGAAAATTAAATTCATTGCACTAAGTTTGATTCCATATGACTTGGCCTCTCTCTGCAGAATGAGTGGCCACCTACCAAGGGCATCAAAGTATTATCTTCATAACTCTGGGGATAATCCCCGGGGATCTCTGTAAAAATTTAATGACATAGCCATGAAAAAACCCACAACCTTTAGAATATGAGGCAGATGGCTTGTCTATTTCAGCGTGGATGTCCCCCAAGTAAATATACAAGTGGCTAGCAGATAAGCTACAAATTCTGTTAGACACCTGACATCCTAGATGTGGCAGAAACTCTGCAGCTCACTCTCTTGTTTGAATCTCCCAGAAAGAAGATTTTTACTCTTTATATCCCAAGTAACACACAACCGTGCTATGTGTGCCTGTACATTATCCATGAACATTAAACAGTGTTTTTTATTTATTTATATACTTATATGTTTATTCAGAAAATTAAAGCTACCACAGCAAAGCGGCCAGACACTCACCAGTGAAACCATAGGTTGTGGGTTAAAGTCCGAATTTAGTTGAATTTTTTCAAAAAATGACCCCCTATCTCTTAAGTTGACTCAGCTAAAAACGAGTACAAGGTAAAATCCTTAGGTGTAGTGGCGGCTGGCTTGATGTTTACCAAATCACTGACCAAGTGCCGATTGGTCTATAAAATATAGATCTAGCCCTGTATATTCCTTTTAGTCAGCAAACAAGTGTACAGAACCATAACCCAAGCCACTTGAGACTCACAGTTATCACATTCTTGGCAGTGATGTGGACATACTGTCTCCAAAATCTTCTGATTGTCCTCTCTCTCTCTCTCTCTCTCTCTCTCTCTCTCTCTCTCTCTCTCTCTCTCTCTCTGCATTAAAAATGCTGATGCAGTCCATAAGCTGTGGCATGGCCAGGCAATGTACCTCTGCTCCTTTATTGATATTAACTCTTTCAGTCCCAAAAAAAACGCATCATAGGTTCCTATCTAGAAGCCAAGTAAACACAGGATTCACAGATGTTAACTCTCTCTCATTACCATCACTTGGGCCACTGATGCTAAACCTTCTAGGGTCCTGTTTTTGGAGGAAAAAGAATATACCCCACTCCCTAACAGATGCCGTAAAAAGTGGCTAATAAAGGGTTTGCTGAAATGAGAATTGGCCCAAAGGCTGCAAATATTGCAGCCTAGCTGTAAACCACAACATGCCAACCATCTATTTAATGTTGAATGCAGAAGTATTACAGATCAGAAGATTGTGGTTCTTTTCTTTTATTGCAGACCTAATTTTTATTGGACAATATTTTTTTTTAAATTACAGACCAAATGATTGTGGAAAACGTGCATGCGTTCATAGAGCATAGAGCACCCAGAACCCAGGAGGGATCTCGTAGAATGTCATTGGTTGACCTTGGCAAACGTTTGTTAGATGCTGCCAAGCGAGGGGAGACAGACACCGTAAGGGCCCTGATGTCAAATGGTGCCCCATTCACCACAGACTGGGTAGGTAGAGCATTTTTCCATGATACAGTTCACTTACTTTCTTTAGAAACAGATTCCCAGGAAGGGTTATCATCTCATCGTTCTACACAGATCCAAAGATGCTCCAATCTCCTCTTGAAAAGATCCAATCTCAAGTGTAGAACGTCTGATGACAACTGTTCTGTGTTGATTAATGAAACAAGACTGTTCCCTTAGTGAAAAGTTCCTTTCTTGCATCTCCAGGCTGCACACCATATCAGTCACAGAAATTCTCAGAGCTCCCCTATATGGGTTCCAGGGCCCCGTGGGTGGGCGTGTGGAAAGATCCACGCCCCCTAACAAGCGTGCCGTGAAAGGTAACTAATTATGGATTTCCAGAAATTGAACATGTTGGACTATTAAAGGCCCAGATATTCCAGCCTTGCTGTAAACCACAACACAGAATGAGAACCACCCTTTTAAGGGACGATTCCTCCCCACCAAATATATGGTTGACACATTCCGTTTCTGAGGACAGCTTTTATCGAGTTTGCTCTCTTAGACAGTTGCAGTCCCCTTCTGATAAGATTCTGTCTCCCCGAGTGGACCGCCGCTATCAAAACATTGTGAAGGCTGCGTGGTCGGGCTGCCAAAACTATCAGTCATTATCCCGCCCTGACATAGCACAACCACAGTACACGCTGCTCCCACGAAAAACACATAGTATCCTGCATTGGAAATGCGCTAAAAATATCAGTTCATGATTATGAAACAGAATAATCCGAGAGAATTGACAGCCAGCGAAAATAAACACAGCTGCTATCCGCCATTTTGAAAACGGAAGTCGCCGTGAATTATATATGACTAACTTTTTTTTTTCTTATTGTCCATGCTGTGTGACGCTGTGAATTATTTAACTAACAGCGTCACACAGCATGGACTACAAGAAGAAAACAGTTTGGGCCAGAGATCTGAGAGTATAATACTCTCCTGCTTGTCTGTTTGGTACAGTTTGAAATTTTCTCTTTTCAACAGCTGGGCACATCACCATTACACTTTGCTGCTCAGTTTGGCCACCAAGAAACAGCAGAAGTCCTTCTCCGAGCTGGAATCAGCAGGGATGCCAGGACAAAAGTTGACAGAACACCCCTGCATGTGGCCTCGCAGGAGGGGCATCTAGCAATAGTTCAGCTGTTGCTGCAGAGCAACGCTGACATCGATGCAAAAGACATGGTGAGAATGGTCATATTTTGTTACCACTATGCCACCGTCGTCACCTCAGTACTAAATCCTTGTTTTGATAAATCACTTCTGAACATTCTAGCTATCTACTGTCTTTCTCTGCTTAATGCTGTTAGTGCTCGCTCATAAGCTTGATGCATGATGATATTGTTGAGTTTCAGCAGGTTGTTAACTCCATTTACCCATATTATTCTTTGTCATCTTCTGCATCTTCATGTTTGGAGTGTGGAGTGGAAAAGAGGGAACGAAACAAATGACGTAAATACTCTGTGTTGGCGATAGACAGCGGGAACCGGTGATGTAATTACTGTGTGTTGGCGATAGATGCACTGCTGTCATATTAGGGTTAGGGTATTGTTACTCCTTAAAACTACGGCCACTCCTAACCCAAAACCTATTATGACAGCAGTGCATCTATCGCCAACACACAGTAATTACGTCATTTGTATCGTTCCCTCTTTTCCACTCCGTAATTGCAATGCGGCCAGGGGACTGAACTCCGGCGTACTCCATAATAAGTGGCCGTAGTTTTAAGGAGAACCAATACACGCCCCCCCCCCCCCCCACCACCCCCCCCCCCCACCCCCCCCACCCAACCACCCCCCCCCCCCCCCCCCCCCACCCCCCCCCCGCTCTTATTGTCTAGAACAAAATGTGTAGATGTGTAAAAAGTAATTTATTTATTTTGACCCTGTTTGGAGCAAGAGTTACTTACTTGACCGACATAGGCAGGTCAGTATCCTACGTCTTAGGACAGGAAATAACAAACTTGACCGGCATGGGCAGGTCAGTATCCTGCGTCTTAGGACAGGACATAACCAAACTTGACCAGCATGGGCAGGTCAGTATCCTGCGTCTCAGGACAGGACATAACCAAACTTGACCAGCATGGGCAGGTCAGTATCCTACGTCTTAGGACAGGACATAACCAAACTTGACCGGCATGGCAGGTCAGTATCCTGCGTCTTAGGACAGGACATAACAAACTTGACCGACATAGGCAGGTCAGTATCCTACGTCTTAGGACAGGACATAACAAACTTAACCAGCATGGCAGGTCAGTATCCTGCGTCTCAGGACAGGAAATAACAAACTTAACCAGCATGGCAGGTCAGTATCCTGCGTCTTAGGACAGGACATAACAAACTTGACCGACATAGGCAGGTCAGTATCCTACGTCTTAGGACAGGACATAACAAACTTGACCAGCATGGCAGGTCAGTATCCTGCGTCTCAGGACAGGACATAACAAACTTAACCAGCATGGCAGGTCAGTATCCTGCGTCTTAGGACAGGACATAACAAACTTGACCGACATAGGCAGGTCAGTATCCTACATCTTAGGACAGGACATAACAAACTTGACCAGCATGGCAGGTCAGTATCCTGCGTCTCAGGACAGGACATAACAAACTTAACCAGCATGGCAGGTCAGTATCCTGCGTCTTAGGACAGGACATAACAAACTTGACCGACATATGCAGGTCAGTATCCTACGTCTCAGGACAGGAAATAACAAACTTGACCGGCATAGGCAGGTCAGTATCCTGCGTCTTAGGACAGGAAATAACAAACTTGACCGGCATAGGCAGGTCAGTATCCTACGTCTCAGGACAGGAAATAACAAACTTGACCGGCATAGGCAGGTCAGTATCCTGCGTCTTAGGACAGGAAATAACAAACTTGACCGGCATAGGCAGGTCAGTATCCTACGTCTCAGGACAGGAAATAACAAACTTGACCGGCATGGGCAGGTCAGTATCCTACGTCTTAGGACAGGAAATAACAAACTTAACCAGCATATGCACAGGCTTCGTCTAATTAGTTCACCTTTGTGCCCTTGTGGGCTATGTGTGCAGACTACAGATCATGTCCTTTGTTCAGCCTATTAAGAAGGGCATACTGGCCCAGTGAATCACCTGCACGCAACGTTGTATGGGACTAAAAAGGAACTCATAAAAACAGTCAATTTTATCACAAGAACCTGTTTGTCGGTGTAAATCAGAAAGCTAACACAAGAAGAAGGAGCAAGAGTTCACATGTTCCTTTAACATTTTGTAAAGTGACAAATACAGCCCTGAAAATGCACTGAAGCGAAAATTGCACTTATGTGACTTTGGCTTAGTGCTTATGAATTCATTGTATGACGTTCTTCTTAATTTATTTTGTTTTAACCACTTCAGGTGTTGAGGGAAACACAAGGTTGTGTTTAATACCTTTCTGACCACCTTGATCTTAGAAATATGATACTGTTGTAGAGTGTTCTTGGCCTGCCTTGAGATATGCATATAATTACGTTTTGTAAATATATTTGTAGTGTAACGTTCAGTTAACAGTATAGATAACAAGGACGTAGTGAATTGGCAACATTTCCTAAATTCAAGTTTTGTTTGGCACAGTGTCTAGGCATAGAAATATGCCACTTTAAAAAAATAAAATTATGGGGTGTTATTTGAAAAGGGTCTGACTTTCTCCCTGTATAATTTACTATAAGTGTCTTCATACATAGTTTGGTCATGATGATTAACCTCTTTGGTTTTCCAAAGTCCTTTATAACATTCCATAAACTGTTTCTATGTACACCATCAGAAATTTATGGAACTCTAAACTATTTAATTTTAGAACTAATTTTTATATTTTCAGTTTTAACGTATGCTAGTGAAAGCTAAAAACACTAAAGACATTCAACAAAAGTTCAGTGTATTCAAAAACAAATGCCTGAGGAAAATGATGCACATAAAATGGTACGAATTCAAAAGGAATGAAAAAAATAAGAGAAATGTCTGGGCAACCACTAGTATTAACCGTTTGAGACAGAGAAGATGGTGCTATATTGGACATATTCTGAGAAAAGATGAGCAGAGAATCAACAGACAGGTAATGAAATGGGAAATATATGGATTGAGGAAACGAGGATGTCCAAGAGAAAGTTGATGAGGGAGGCCAAAGATGCTGGATCGGATTCCATCCATGAAATTGAGGTGTTTGCACACGATAGAACGGAATTGAGAAATAGACTGCAGGACAGTGAATGCGATAAATAAATGATGCAATATATTACTTGTGTGCTGGATATTGAAATGCTTTTTGTATTGTTTACAACAGTTAAAAATGACACCGCTTCATTGGTCAACAGAGAAAGGCCATGTCAGCATCATCGGTTTGCTGATTCAGAGTGGGGCAGACATAACCCTGGAGGACAAGGTATGTTTTCTGTCTTTTACAGGGAGTTTCTCTTATAGCTTTTGATTCATGTTTCATTTCTTTGTGTTCACCAGCTGTAAGCTGCGGTGCACAGTTCTGGTTGTTCGTCTACCTCTGGACTTTTAGTCTTGTTCCAGAAAATGAGTGTTGCATGCACATGTGACTTATTTGTATATTCGATTGTGGTTCCTTGCTTCTCGGGGATGTGTACTTTGACTTTGAAGGACACCAAAATTAGTCAACTCAAATGACATGCTTGTTGGCAAGGCAGAGGGTTTATTCTTGTTTTCGACCACAGTATGACCTTGGAGCCCACACCGGGGTAACGTTGCATTTGATGTGATTCTGGAATCCTGTTCTGGAGCTAATGTTGGTGGTCATGACTACTTTCTCTTAAAATTGAGATTTCTTTTTTTTTAAACCACATCTAAATATTCTTAGAAGGAGAGGTAGCTTCAAGAAAAGAAATGGTCATGACAGTACAATAAAAAGTTATCAGTCAGTTGAGATGTAAAACTAGCCAGATTGATATGATCGAACAAATGAATGCTGCAGCTAGAAAGCTTTCATCAGCACATGATGCAAAAAGACACTGATACATTTGTAAACAATAATATATAAGACCACTACAACGCTAACGACATTTCAGTGATCAGTTACATATTTTATTTGTCGTTCATGTTTGTGGTAATGTGAAGCTGACTAGATCTACTTCTCATTTGATTGATATCTTTTTGTAGTATTGTCAAATTTTTTTTTTCTGTTTAGCATTCCCTAGCTGTAAAGTAAAGGAACAAGTTCTGGTTGTTTGTCCAGTCCTGGACATTGTCTTGATCCAGAACTTGAGTTTTGCGTGCTAATCAGTTTTACAGGTTTCTCTTATTTGTATGCAGACTGTTGGTTTCTTGCCTCTCAGGCGGATGCACTCTGACTTTAAAGGAAATTTCCCTAATTACTCGCGTCCTACGACATGCTACATTATCGGCAGTTGTCCTCAGAATGGCTGTTGTCGCGTTTGTCTGTGATTAACAGCTAGACAGATATCTGCACTTTTCTTTCTTTTTAATAATACTTGCGACTTTTCTTTCTGTCCTCATTAGTAATCACATTTTTGTTGGGGGGGGGGGGGGGGGTAATATTCAAAGGGGGAGTGACACCTTTGAAAGGTTGAAGACCACTGCTGTGCACAATATATTTCTTTTTCTACTGCAGTTTGGCCGCACCCCAGTTGACATTGCCTTAGCCAATGGAAGAACAGACATTGCTCATCTGATCCAGCTACACCAGGATGCTACAGGTGTGATTGAAGATGCGGACACGATCACGATTGAAACCCCAGAGACCCTGGTTACTGAGACAGTGTCCACCAGCGATGGTGTGGACGGACTGGTTATTGACACAGACAAATGTGAGTACTTCAGTTTCTTCTTTTTGTCTCCCTTGCCTGTGATTTTCAGATGAGAAGGCCACAGGCCTCTATGAAGGCTGTGGTGTGGCATATTTCCTCCATTGTTCAATACAGCTTGGTTTCCACTGGAATGCCAACTGGCCAAACTTGGGACCTCTCTACAGCAGTAGTTCTCAAACTTCCTAATGCTGCGACTCTTTAACACAGTTCCTCATGTTGTGGTGACCCCCGACCATACAATTATTTTTGTTGTTACTTCATAACTTCAGAGAATATGTGTTTCCCGATGGCCTTAGGCGACCCCTCTGAAAGGGTCGTATGACCCCAAAAGTGTTGCGACCCACAGGTTGAGAACCACTGCTCTGCTGCATGTAGGGAGCATGTCTGTAGCGCGTGTAAAATGTTCTAGGGTGCCTGTTCACATGGGCAGAGCTCTGAATCCACAATTTTGAAGTTCTTCTATAGATGGCTGCTGAGTCTGTTGTGACTAGAACGCAGTCTAAGTATAATGCTCTGTTTCTATTATGTGAGGAAGTTGATTGGGTCTTGAGGATTGTCTCCTGGATTGGGCGTGTTTTCCCTGGGTTCTAATATGAGTACTGAGGCCTTGCGGGGGAGGGGGGACTGTTTATTTTGTAGCGGCTTGGCCTTTACACCATAAGGAAACTATAAGTCTTTGAGATAATTTATATCTTCTTCTTCAGCATTCTAAGCCCTTGTGGTTCATTGCTGCAGATATCACCTGCTCCCATTCATCTCTCTGGTTGGCCTTCTTTTTCCACTTGTTGACATTAAGTGTTTGTTGGCCTGTCTGGACATTATCTCTCCATCATCTTCTTGGTCTGCCTCGTGGTCTGCGACCATTCCTCTGCCTTGTGTGTAGTTTTTACTTCTCTGTCATCTAACATTCTCTCAACATGCCTCAACCATTTCAGTCTATTAGCCCTCATGATGCCAGTGATCAATGGTGATTTAAACAGAATATGAATTTCGCTGTTGCTTCTCTCTCTCTCCATTCCCCGCTTATATGCACTTGCTTATTCATCTCTCTCTGAGTGACGTGAATGCTCTGTGCCTGTTTACAGTATAGCTGCAATATTTGCACCTTTCAGCCGGCACATCTGACTTCTTCAGGCATTTGTTATCTGGGTTAGCCTTCCCAGTTAGTTTCATGGGTCATTTGTAGCCTTATATGTGTGATGACGCCCCTGATCCACAAGTTATGTCCAAGGCAGCTGTGTGCAGCTTTGTCGACCCTCAAGGGAATGCAAGTGCAGAGCATGGCCATTCCCTGCCATCCAAGGAGGCAATATATGGTGCTCTGGTACTGGGCTTACCCAAGAAATCATCATGTCCTGCATATGAATGCCTAAACTCACATCCCTATATTGAGCCTTAGTACAGGCTGCACTGCTTAGGGATCCACAGGAAGCAGTCAGTAGACCTGAGACCCAGAATCCCTAAACAGAAGGGCATCTTACGTTCTCATTATGCTAGACTTCTCTCTTTGACAGTGGCACCTTTCAGGGGCATTCCCTAGAGCATTCTTTGCAGCATTTATGAGAAGCATTCATCAGTTATAGCCTGCCTATATGGTCAGTACACTCAGAGTTGGGCCATAGATAGTGGCCATTTGATGAACCTTTTCTGTCATAAAGTAAGATCTTTGAGCTAAGAACATCTGAACTTTTACCATCATACAGCAGAAGACTCGATGGATGGATATTTTAATCTAAAACAGCCATACAGTAGGAGTCTCGGGCAACAGATATTGAAAATGTTTGTCAAATTAGCAGTTCCTCCGAAGTCGGAGTACATCTGCCGGAGAGGCGGAGAACGAGTACTGCAAACAAATAAGCCAGTAAAACGGATGTACACGCAAAACTCAGGTCAAGGTAAAAGCCAAAAGTCCATTTTGGACGAACAACCGCGACTTACCGCCGGAATTCACAGCTGGTGAACAAGAAGAAGAAGAAAAATTAGCAGGACTTTAGGACAGCAGACGTTTAAACCTGAGTAAGGCTCTCAGTCAGCAGACTTTCCTCATGTTCCCAAGGAGTGTTCCATGTACATTAAGTGCCAGGAGTTTTGCGTGAACATTCATAAAGCCTGCATAGAGCCTGCTGACGCTTTAGGTGACATACAATGTGTCACCTTATACACATAATGATGACCTTACCTTTCATTCATGTATTTGACCCAAATCACTGCACCACATACATGGTTGATTTAATCAGTTCTAATGTTGTTAATTATGGAGCTAAAGTATTATTGTTGTATGACTTAAAATTTGTTAATTGTTTATTGTATTATGTTATTTGTATTTTGTATGTGAACATAAAAATTTTTCATCTCAATTTTGATTTTGTCCATTGATAGACAGGTGCAAATTTTTAAGCTAGGTTGAATGCGAAATTAAGAATCAACATCACAGCACTCAGGACACCACTATAAGCACTCTGTCCCCTTCTTCAGCAGCAAGCGAAAAGTTAAAATTCTGATGGTAGCAGTAACTGTATGATTGTATATCCGTCTCGCCTTTCCCCTGAGTGTTGAGCGTCGGCCAGATCCCCTTGTAACTCCTCGCAGTGTCATTCACCTCATGGCTCAAAATGCAGAAGAAGAAAAAATAGACTCACTGTCCGCCCACAACAAGCTTGTTGTGGGAGGTGACTAATGGTGTTTTCTTCAAAGTTGGAGCACACCTGTCTGAGAGGTGTGGAACCAACAGTCTGTATACAGATAAGCCTGATCTGTAAAATGGATATGCATGCAACAGTCAAGTTCTGAATCAAGACCAAAGTCCAGGAGTGGACGAACACCTGGAACTTTCCGTCGGAGTTTACAGCTAGTGAATGCAGAGAAGCAGAAATCAATTTAGACATGTTTTAATCTCATATATAGAGTAAGAATGCTGTCTGTCTGATTTGACTGTCAGCGTTTAACAGTATTAGATGTAGTTAGTCGTCCCCATGCGGAATGCAATTTTTTGGCATTCAAAGCCCCACCTGTAGTCTCCGTGGCAGGGCGGCTTGATGCTCGCCGCGGATCGGAAGGTCGTGGGTTCGCTCTCTGGCAAAGCCGGACTTTACAAAAAAATGTTTTTGATTCCCAGGTCGACTCAGCCTTAAGTGGGTACCGGGTGCAGTCCCAGGAAGTAAAAGCGGCCGGCGTGATGCTGACTACATCACCAATCTTGTGCCGTTGGTTTATAACATATAGGTCTTGCCCTATACGCCTGTGGGCATGGAAAAGGGTCCTTTACTCTGGCTTTTGCTAGGGGCCCTAAATATAGCCGGGCCATAAGTATGGCCTAGCGGCTGAACATTGTTTCTGGGACCTCTCCACGGGTGATCCTCATCTGCATGGTGGCACTGTGTCACCGGGTGTTTATCGCTTTGTGTGATGTCCTGGTGGGGTACAACTTATATACATACATACTTTAACAGTATTCTCCTAGCATATACTAACAGCAGCATCAGTGTGGTCACTTTTAGTCACTGTGAGGATGTCATGTTTTTTCCGCATTTTCTTCCCACAGTGATAAAATCGGAACCAGATGACCCTACTGACCAGAGCAGCACATCTGTACTTGCCACACTGGCTGCGCTAGCCGAAGCCACGTCCTCCAACCCTTCCAGTAAATGTTGTGTCCAGTTGACCGTTGTGGTTGTCAGCATATTTTATAGTCTTGCGTCTTGTTTCAAGTCTTTTCTATGGTCCTTTATTTATTGTTCATTTCACTTGTTACTCATCTCCGACTAACATTGTTTCCCATTGTCTGTGTTTTTGTTGTTTTGTTTTTCTATGTGTGATAGGAAACAAAATAATCTGCTTTTTGAATAATAACTGAAGATAAATAAATAAATAAAAAATTTACATCACTTTTGTTAGGACAATCCCACAGCTGCTAAGTCTCCTTCCTTAGTAGACATCAAAGAGTTGACGTGCTAATGGAGCCAGTTGCAGCCTGATCAAATGTCCACTTGTATTTTTCCCTTTGTTGTACACCTTCAGGAACCTCTACTTACTGACCACCTCTTCCCCCACAGCCTGTTGTACACCTTCAGAAACCTCTACTCACTAACCACCTCTTCTGCACAGCCTGTATTTAGTCTTTCAATGTATGGATTCTTTGTCTATTTTGTTGCGTGGTACATTTGATCCTTCAGCATGCCTGCTTTATCATAAAGTAGCTCACCACCCATGATTTTGATCTGTCGAATAAACATAAACCTAGGTAATTTTTTGAAAAGTAAACATATGTTGAGCACATCACCCATCGAGCTTCAACTGGTCTATACAAATATAGGGCTAACACTACATGCCCCATGCACTTATGTGGTTCTTCTTCTTCGCGTTCACCAGCTGTAAACTCTGGCAGAATGTTATGGTTGTTCATCCACTTCTGGGCTGCAGTCGTGTTCCAGAACCTTAGTGCTGCGTGTGCATCCATTTTACAGATCTGACATTTGTATACAGAGTGCTGGTTCCTTGTCTCCCAGGCAGATGCACTCCGCCGGAGTTTACAGCTCGTAAATGCAAAGAAGCAGCATCAATTTAGACATGTTTAAATCCTGCTTATGGTGTTAGAATGCTATCTGTCAGATTTGACTGTCGGCGTTCAAAAAGTGGTAAAACAGATTTTGTTTTTAAACTAGGTCATGCTGCAACATCGGAGGCCATGAGTTGGTTGGAGAGTCAAGGGATCACCATGATCTCTGGAGATGGCAGTTTGATCACATCGGCGGTGGAAAGTGGACAGACCATTACTTTAACAGGTGAGAGCCTCTTGTTGGCGTCGGTTGTTACTGGCCAGAGCCAGGTGTTAACATTACTTTAAACCAGCCAGACCGTTTGTTAACTTTACTTCAACTGGTCATACATTATTTGGTCAGACTAAGTGTTAGCATTACTTGTAACTAGTCAGACAAAAAAATAATTAGTTTTTACAGTTCACAACTAGTTGTTAGCATTACTTTTAACTAGACTGGTTTGACTGATAGTTAACATTACTTTTAACTGTCAGAACAAAATGTGGTCAGTATTAACTATCAGATCCAGTTGTCTTCATTACTTTTTTTACTGGTGGGAATCATTAATTATCCCTACTTGTAACGGATAAGAGCTGTTTATTAGCACTACTTTCATTCAATGAGGGCCACTTGTTAGCACTATTTTTAATTGGGAAAAGCCAATTATAAGCATTTAAAAAAAAATAAGTGTTAAACAGTATTATTTTTAATTAGCGACACCTAATACTTTTAAAGTGTGAAGACCAGTTAACATTAATTAGGATTGTTTTTAAAATTAAATTCAAACAGAGCAACAGTGATATCATTTCTTGATTCATTTCACATTTTCGCTAATTCATTTTTCAGTCATTAGCTTTTGCTGTGGTGGGTTGAGATGAATTAAATCAAGAATTGTCATCACTGCATACAGGACATTCCCATATCTGCTCTGTCCCCTTTCTTAGTAGCCAGTGGAGAGTTTCCGTACTGATGACGCAGGGATACCATTTTATTATGTTCATCTTTGCAGTTACCAGCTGTTAACTCCAGCAGAAAGTTCTGGTTGTTCGTCCAGCTCTGGATTTTACTCTTGTTTAAAATCTTGAGTGTTGCGTGTAAATCTTTTACATATCTGACGTAATTAAGTGCAGATTGTATGTTCCTTGCCTCTCGGGCAGATGTACTCTAAAGATGCACTTTAAAGGAGGCCTCAGATTAGTCGACTGTTGTGACATGCTTGTTGGGGAGTCAGTCAGTGGTCTATTCTTGTTTTCCCCACAATGCGGACCTGGAACCCAGATTCTTATGTTGACTTCAACAACATTTTCTGTATCTACTGCCCAGATATGCTGAAACAAACAAGTGTCTGTCTGTCTACAAATTGTTGAATTAAGGTGTCTTATGTGCTGATGTTTTCAGAGGCGGGCAAGATAGCCCTGAATCAGTTCATCCAGCAAGAAGCAGCAATGAATGGAGATGGAGGAGATGAAAATGGTGAAGATGATGTGGGACTTGATGAAGAAATCACAGAAGAATCCATAGTGGAGCATTCCGGAGCTGGAATTGACGTCGACCACGGACAGGTAGAGTTTACATTGTCAGTCGTTTTCTTCTTCTTCTTCTTCTTCTTCTTCTCCTTAGCCTTCACTGGCTGTAAGTTCCATAGGAAAATTCTGGACTTTAGTCTCATTCCAAAAATTTAGTTTTGCATATCTGTTTCACAGATCTGGCTTGTTTACACACAGACTGGTGGTTTCTCAGGCAGATGCACCCCGATTTTGACGGAAATTCCTCCAATAGATCTAACTTTAGGGCATGATTGTTGGAGGGGCGGTGAGTCTGTTCTTTGTTCCCTCAAAGTGGTGCTCCAGAACCCTCACTGTTCTGTTGCTGCAAGTGCTGCTGCTACAACTGTTACTACTAGTTGTACCACCACGATTCACAACCTGTGTCTAGTTTCTGGTTGACAGACATGGGTGATCATGCCTTCCCACAACTTGCATTCTCCAACAGCATGTATCAGTTTATGTGTTGACATGTTCCCATGTATCAGTTTATGTGTTGACACCTTTCTATGCATCAGTTTATGTGTTGACACCTTTCAATGTATAAGTTTATGTGTTGACACCTTTCCATATATCAATTTATGTGTTGACACCTTTCCAGGCATCAGTTTTTGTGTTAACACCTTTCCTATGTATCAGTTTATGTGTTGACATGTTCCCATGTATCAGTTTATGTGTTGACACCTTGTCATGTATCAGATTATGTGTTAACACCTTGTCATGTATCAGTTTATGTGTTGACACGTTCCTATGTATCAGTTTATGTGTTGACACGTTCCCATGTATCAGTTTATGTGTAGACACCTTTCCTATGTATCAGTTTATGTGTTTACACGTTCCCATGTATCAGTTTATGTGTTAACACCTTTCCTATGTATCAGTTTATGCGTTGACACGTACCCATGTATCAGTTTATGTGTTGACACGTTCCTATGTATCAGTTTATGTGTTGACACCTTTCCATGTATCAGATTATGTGTTAACACCTTGTCATGTATCAGTTTATGTGCTGACACTTTTCCATTTTCCATGTATCACTTATGTGTTAACACCTTTCCATGCTGTCACAAAAAGCCTGTGAATCTTTCCAGTTGTCACCATATGTTCCAGTTTCTTTTCCCCCATAAATTAGCCATAAAACAACAAAGAAAAACCCAGGCATCTGCCCCTGAAATTACCACCATTACTTCTACTGTGGTGCTATTACTACTAATATAATAATTATTACGGCTGTTGATGTTATTACTGTTGTTTCTACTGCCATTACTGCTACCACCATCACAGAATATTGCACACACATGGTATAGTTTCACAGAACAAAACTGGTAAATTATATGTAAATAACATCTTTTCGTGTGACTTTGTCCTTCCCAGAGTGTCATCACAATTGTCACGACTACAGACGATGGCGAAGAGGAATCAGAGACTCGGCAGATTATCATGGAGGAGACAATCATACATGATGGGCAGGATGGGGGTAAGTGTTGCTGTCACTCTCAGATAAGTGAGAACAAGATGGAGAACATGAAAATCTTGTTGTCTGTCAAGCTCTCTTAAAAAAAATGGTTTAACTCATTCAGTACCTGAGGACTGCTAAATTGAAGTCCATTACAAAAGTTGTGCCATGAAGCTAACAAATATCTTGAAAACTCATCAGCGTAAATTTATGCATGTGGTCTTAGATTTCATATCTTTGTGTAGCCACCGTGCGGGTTCCGGGGCTCTATTATAGGGAAAATAAGAGTAGACCCATTGCCTAGCCAAAAGAATGTTGTAAGAGTCTACTAATTGGGAGCTTCCTTTGAAGTCTGAGTGCATCTGCCCGAGAGGCAAAGAACCAAGAGTCTGCACACAGATGTGTCAGATCTATCAAACGGATGCACACGCAACACTCGGGTTCTGGAACAGGACTGCAGTCCAGAAGTTGACCAACAACCAGAACTTTCCACCAGAGTTTACAGCTGGTGAACACAAAGAAGTAGAAGAAGAAAACATCACTGTAGGATTTCATAATTTACAGTTGCACAGGTGCTGCTTTTGTGTTACAGTGGTGAATTACTTTGACCTTTGTTGGTCTAATAATTTGTGTACCGCTTAAAAAAAAAACACCAACCAGAAACATACAGTAATTGACACAAATCGTGTACTTTTAATAAGCCAGTATTATGGCAGTACATGACAAATCCACTTCCTATTGAAAATTACATGCATCTCAGTTTCTTACTCTGACTGTCTCTAAATTATTTGCAGTTTTTGCCAACTTTGTCTCCATTAATTCACTGTAAACATGCGAACTGTATAGTTTGAATCAGTGTCTGTTTTTTCTTACACCCCAAATAAGGCAAAACAAAAACTTGATGTTTTTTCCTTTAAAATTATTTTTTCCCAAGGACATGATTATTAATAGGGTGCATGCCAAATTTGAACAATTGACACCAAACGGTTGCAGAGTTAAAGATTTTTAAAGTTGGGCACAACTTTTAGAATGGACTACAGTTATAAATCAGCACATGATGTGATCCTTGGTACCCAAAGAGTAAAGAGCAAGAGATTGACTTCACTTATTACGGCCATTGAGTTAACGGTATTGTGTTGATTCCTTCCCACACAAAGTGTTGATTCCTTCCCACACAAAGTGTTGATTCCTTCCCGCACAAAGTGTTGATTGCTTCCCGCACGAAACAAATGGTTGACACAATCCCTTTCTGGAGACAACTTTTATCAGGTTTGTTCTCTTGACAGTTTGTGGGGCCTCATTGATCAGATGATCAGTCAACAAAAGTAAACGTAAAGTAGACACGTAACTATCTGCTGAACATATTGGTGTCAACAAAAGTGAACGTACCTTTTAATGCCAGTAGCACAAATGACGCTAGACTTATATTTTTAGACCAATCAGCACTATTTGAGTTTTGTGGGGAACATCATGCTGGCTGCCTTTACTTTCCATGTTATTATCTGGTGTCCATTTCAGGCTAGGCTGACCTGGGAGCTAGGATCAGTTTTTGGGGGGGGGGGGGGGGGGGGGGGTGAATTCACTCCAATTGAACTTACAGTCGGGCGGGGAGTATCTGGCGTCTGCACCAGCTCAGCTGTTGGTGACACATAATCGTCTGTTGGGCAGGGATACATTTGATCTTTGGACATTAAATTCATTGTTGTTGTGTTTTAGTCTAGCATACACATATATGTCCTTCTGATTGGCATATCATTAAATTCTCTGTTATGTTGTGTTTCAATGTATCATACACATATATTTCTGTCTGACTTGCATATAATTAAATTCATTGTTATGTTTCAATGTATCATACACACATATATTTCTGTCTGACTTGCATATAATTAAATTCATTGTTATGTTTCAATGTATCATGCACATATATTTCTGTCTGACTTGCATATAATTAAATTCATTGTTATGTTTCAATGTATCATGCACAAAAATTTCTGTCTGACTTGCATATAATTAAATTCATTGTTATGTTTCAATGTATCATGCACATATATTTCTGTCTGACTTGCATATAATTAAATTCATTGTTATGTTTCAATGTTTCATACACATATATTTCTGTCTGACTTGCATATAATTAAATGCATTGTTGTGTTTCAATGTATCATACACACATATATATCCTTGTGACTGGCCAATAATTAAATTCATTGTTATGTTTCAATGTATCATACACATATATATCCTTGTGACTGGCATATAATTAAATTCATTGTTATGTTTCAATGTATCATACACATATATGTATCCTTGTGACTGGCATATAATTAAATTCATTGTTAGGTTTCAATGTATCATACACATATATATCCTTGTGACTGGCATATAATTAAATTCATTGTTATATTTCAATGTATCATACACATATATCCTTGTGACTGGCATGCCTAAATGTACCATAAAGTTAAGGACCCTTTTGCATGCCTTCAAATCTATATTTTATTTACCAACCGGCACTCACTGGTCAGCATCACGCAGGCCACCGTTACTTTCCAGCACTTTACATAGTATCCATTTAAGGCTGGATTAACCTGGGATCCACGGTCATTGGAAGAAGAAAAACAAACTGGCTGCAACAGGACAGGAACCCACAATCTTCATCCAGTCCACATTTTGTTTTGTAATATTGTAGTATGACCATATACAGTCGAGTCTGGATAAATAGAAGTCCCAGGGACCTAAGAAAATGCTTCTACTTATCAACACACACAATAGAGAAAATTGCCGGGACTGAGCTGGTCATTTTGACTTTACCGAAATTCGACCTATCTGAGTTCGACTTCAGTGGACTCGACTGTACTCCCCTTTTAAGCATGTTTGTATGTAATGTCCATGTCCACATATGAATGTAATGCTCACTTCTCAGGCACGTACATAGAAGTATTTACATGTAAATTTCCAGTGGGCTTGTACATACATAAGGTTCACATATACTTCTCCAGTTGGCACGTATGTAATAAATGTTCACAAATACTTCTCCAGTCAACACAATTGTATGTAATGTTCACATATGCTTCTCCAGTCAACACATTTGTATGTAATGTTCACATATACTTCTCCAGTCAACACATTTGTATGTAATGTTCACATATACTTCTCCAGTCAACACAGTTGTATGTAATGTTCACATTATACTTCTCCAGTCAACACATTTGTATGTAATGTTCACATATACTTTCCAGTCAACACATTTGTATGTAATGTTCACATATACTTCTCCAGTCAACACATTTGTATGTAATGTTCACAAATACTTCTCCAGTCAACACAGTTGTATGTAATGTTCACAAATAGTTCTCCAATGGCAGTATGTATAATGTTTGTGTAAGTTCTCCAGTGGTCTTGTGTCTGTCTGTAATGCTCACATACACTTCTCTATTCACCAGAGACATATAGTGAGCGTTTTTTAAGTAAGTCCTGGTATAAAATTATTTTTAAAAAAAACTTCATATATAAAAATGATTTTTTTTTTGGGCAACCAAAAGTGAACCGCACATTTACATTATTTCTAAACATAGTCACCATTGACTTGAACACATTTTTGGGATTTCGGAACTAGGTTCTTAAGTCTGCTGCTAGTGTCTTGAACCATTTATTAACGTCTGTCTGCAGTTCTTCATTAGTTTCAAACCGCTGGGATGCTAGCCACTTCTTTAGGTGCATGAAAAGGTGGTAATCACTTGGTGCTAGATCGCGGCTGTAGGGCGGGTGGTCAACAATTTCCCAGTTCAAGAAAATCAATAAATAAGACCCTTTTTTTTGGTCCCAGAAAACAGTGGCCATGATTGTTTTGACAAAAGACGCTTGCTTAAACTTCTTTGCTTTCAGGGACCATGAGTGTCGCAATTGCATTGACTATTGCTTTGATTCTGTGTTTGTGTAGGAAATCCAGGTCTCAACCCTAGTAACAGTGTGCCCCAAAAATGTCATCTCCTTTATTTTGATAACGCTACAAACATTTGCGAGGATTTTCTGCTTTACTTCATCGGTTAACATTTCTGGTAGCCGTCTGGCACACTAGAGCTAATAAACTGAAATTGTTGGGAATATCGAAAGAATGTCAGGTGACAGAGAAGTAAAAACTGTATACACAAGGAAGATGAATGGTCGTAGACCACGAGGAAGACCAAGAAGACGATGAAGAGATATTGTCCAGACAGACTTGCAAACACTTGGCGTCACCAACTGGAAAGAGAAGGCCAACCAGAGAGATGAGTGGAGGCGGGTGATATCTGCAGAAATGAACCTCAAGGGCTCATAATGCTAAAGAAGGAAGAAGATCTGCACACAGTTTTTTTTAAACCCAAGGTTTTTTGTCACAGTGTCATAAATCAGTGGACATGAAACTTCCGATAATTTGACAGACAATACAGAAAGTGTGAAACAGCGATTTTTCTGAATTTTTTGGTTTACTTTTTCAACCAAATAGTCTGTTACCACACTAGGCTGACCGCTACGATCTTCACAATGGATATTTGTTCACCCTTCTTTAAACATTTGACACCATTTCAAAACCATACTATCAGTTATAACATCTGGCCCGTAAATTTCTGCAGCACCTGTTTTTTGCTAACAAAAATGGATCGTGACACGAACCTCGCAGCTGATGGAAGTATTTATTTTTGCACTCAGTATAAATCACATGCAGAATCAAACATGATTTCGACAGTGAAAAAACAGCACGCAGCTAGCTAATGAATCACATAAACATACTGCATATGCACATTTACGTTTTTCTTCGGTGTTTGCCGGAGCAGTCCAAACGGGACTTACTTAAAAGAACGCACCTCATATGTAATGTTCCTGTGTACTTCTCTAAATGGGCATGCATGTATGTAATGTTTCCATGTACTTCTCTAATAAGCAAGTATGTGTGTAATGTTCCCATGTACTTCTCTAATGGGTACATATGTAAGTATGTCATGTTCACATATACTTCTCCAATAGACACATTTGTATGCACATACACCTGTCTACAGTAATCACCCACATCACGGATGAGAACGGGAATGCACTGGTTATAGAAGAAGCCCACTCATCACTTGCGGGCGCTGATGAGATCGGGGACGACGAGACTCTGGGAATCGAGGTTTGTCCACCATTTCATTGACAGTGTGCAGGGGGAAAAGAGTGGTCACGGAGCTGAGGTTCAAAAGGTTGAGGGGTATCGGGTTCAAACCCAGTCAAGGCTAGCATTTCCAGATGTTTCTTATCCACTTGATGCTGGAACCGTCCTTATGCACATGATGCTGTGTCCTTCCTTTGTCTTTGGATAGTGTATACAGCTTTTATTGACAGATATGGACAAGATGAGACCATGTGTATACCACAAATCGTCTGGCTGTTGGGATTTCTAAATTGTGTTTATAGACCAGAGGTGGGCAAACTATGGCCCGCAGTCCAAAACTGGCCCACCAAGCAGTGTTTACTGGCCCACGAGCATGGTGTGAAAATACTGTATAATATGTCCCAGCCCCACTTTCCTGAGGATGATTTCTGCAAATAACCAGCTTGAACAGGCACATTTAGGAATATATAGAAGTTCTTCAGTGGGTGACTGTCTAACTAGAGGCATAGTGAGGAATTCTAATCTTAGATTATCCTACACAAATATTGTGTTACGAGGAAATCTGGGTGCTATTTTACAGTGTGGCTGCGATATTTGCCTTTTTCAGCAGATGCATCCGGCTTATTCAGGCATTTGTTGCCCAGGTTAGCTTTCTCGGTTAGTTTTAGGAGACACTGCGCAACCTCAGTACTGTATTATCTTTTGCTTCCTAAACCACAGGTGGCGCCCCCTTCGGGACAGTCACCTCTTATATGTTACAGTGTTACCCTTTTTCTTGCTTCCTTATAAACCCTCAGTTTAACACTTGAGTATGAAAGTATAAACCCACAAGTTTAACACCTGAGTTTGAAATTATAAACCCACAAGTTTAACACTTGAGTATGAAAGTTCAGCAACTGTAATTTGGTTGTGTAAGAAATATGCAAGCAGAAATGGAGCAGCAGAAGGGTATATTGAGCATCCAAATAATACCAGATACACAGCCAAAATACGTACAGGAAAGCACTTTCACAACTATGATGCAGAAGTTTAAGCCATCAGAATAGCAGCAGAGAAACTGTTAAATGTACGTCATATTTCACAACCCATGGTATTCCTAAAAGATTCAAGAGCGGTACTTCCGGCACTCCAGTCTGGAAAACTACCTGGTTTACCAACACTACTTTCCAAACTAGGTAACCGGTTTGAGGTAACTATGCAATGGATACCATCCCACTGTGGGGTTCCTGGAAATGAAAGAGCTGATAAACTAGCTAAGGAAGGTGCAAATGAAGAACAACCTGACGTACCAGTCTCTTATCAACAGAAGAAGAGAATAATAAAATCAACCAGAAAGCAACCAGAACCGGCACAAGATGATTACCATATAATGGACAGACCAGAGCAAGTTATTCTACGTCTTAGAAAAGGACACAGTCAACTTCGCAGCCACATGTACACAAAATTTAAAATCAGCGAATCAACCTGTGAGCATGTGGATTGGCACCTAAGACAACAGATCATGTCTTTCAAGGCTGTCCCACATACAACATATCAAGGCAACATTTTTGGCCAAGAGAAACTTCCTTGCAAGTCAAACCTGACGGCTCGCTGAGTGAATTACGAAAGATAGTGAAGTTCATACTAGAGATATAGATAATCTATTTCAAGCAAAAGACAAAAGAAGAAAAAGAAGGTTGTGTTCTGATAAAAACAAAATGCTTATATTAATAAGGTCTCCTATTCCTCTTCTGTTTGGCCTTCCCTGACTGTAAATTCTTGCAGAAAGTTCTGGTTGTTAGTCCATATCTGGACTTTGGTCTTGTTGCAGAGCTTGAGTTTTCAGTGCACATTTATTTTACTATACTGGCTCATTTGTTTGCAGACTGTTGGTTCTTTGCCCCTGAGGTAGATGCACTCTATGAAGGAAATTCTCCTGCCCTGATTAGTTGCTTTGTATGAAATGTTTGTCGAAGTGGGGGGGGGGGGGGGGGTGCATGGGTTACCCCCCCCCCCCCCCCCCACCTCATAACAGACATGGGGAACAACTGTAAAGTCATGTTGATTCTAATAATTATCAAATAAAAAAAAAATACATGGGGGAGAAAGGGGGGAGGGGGAAGGGGTTATTTGTTTATTTACTTCCCCAAAAATATGGCCCTGGAAACCACATGGGGGTGTCTCTGAGGCATATTGGGCATATTTTATTAGACCATTCAAAACTCAAGTGGGTGATGTGATTACTGTCATGCCTGCTTAACTTCACCTCCCAAGTCATTTTAAGCTACAGTGCCAGTAGCTAACATTTGTGTGTGCGCTGGGCTACTGGCGAGTTTCACTTACTGACATTTCTGTTCCCTGACTGCAGGACCAGGTTGTGACTACTGGGGCGACCGAAGATGATGACGACGAAGTCGAGGGCATCATCTTACAAGATGAGCTAGACATGGGAGTTGAGGAGCACCAAGAGCTGGTATCGGAAAACGGAGAGAAGGACGGGGATTAAATATTGTTGTTTTATCTGTGGGTTGTCTGTATGAGAATGATTTAAAATTTCAGTCAGTCGAACAGTGAGTGGTTGAAATAAAAGGAAAGTTTGAAAGAGTTGGAACAGTGTTAATATTTGGCATAATGATGGAATGCGTGGGAATGTAAGAAAAACAAAGTTAACATGGATTGTTAATCTGGGTGAATCTTGGTGTGTGTGAAAATGTCTGCAGTAAAAAGCCAATATAATAAAAAGTGGTAAATAAGCGAGTTTCTTCTTGTGTGATTTTATGGTGGTAGTGTGACTCACGGTATGATAGACTGAGTGTAAATAAAACTTGGAATGTAAATAAGGTAGTCTAGGTTGTAAATAAGAAACAAATCATTATTCAATATAGTCACCCGCTGTGTTCAGTGCAAGATCTCCAGTGCCAATAACATGCTTGGATTCCTGTAGAACAAATTTCTCATGGTCGCATGTGAAGCCACTCGGGCACCACCTGCTGTACCTCTTCATCGCACTAAAATGTCCTTCCTCCCAAAGACTCTGAGTTGACCAGACAGAAGAAAAACAACTTGGGGCTAGGTTTTGTGAGTAAGGGGATTGTGGTACACACAGAAAATGGAGATCATCTGTGGTTTCAGCCATTGCACAAGCAGTAGGATGTTGAGCGTTGTCATGTGGCACAGGGACACCTTTACTCAGAGGTCCACATCATTTAGATTTGTCTGCGGACTGAAGGTGATTCCTGAGAAGAACTGCTGTATACATGTCCCTGGTGGCAGTTTTGGCATGCAGTGCTCCGAAATAACGCTTTGTTCATTTAAAAAAAGAGCTTAACCTTCCATGCAGACGGCTGCATGTGAAACTTTTCTTGTTTTGGTGAAGAGGGTTGACACCATTCAGGGCTGTCTTAATACATAAGCCCAATGAAAACTAGCCTGGCCCAACGAGCATAGAGGGCCGCGTGCTAATCTGTGTCTGTCAAGCGCTCATAGAGGCCTCATGCTAATCTGTGTCTGTCAAGTGCTCATAGAGGCCTCATGATAATCTGTGTATGTCAAGTGCTCATAGAGGCCTCATGCTAATCTGTCTGTCAAGTGCTCATATAGGCCTCATGCTAATCTGTGTATGTCAAGTGCTCATAGAGGCCTCATGCTAATCTGTGTCTGTCAAGTGCTCATAGAGGCCTCATGATAATCTGTGTATGTCAAATGCTCATAGAGGCCTCATGATAATATGTGTATGTCAAGTGCTCATAGAGGCCTCATGCTAATCTGTGTATGTCAAGTGCTCATATAGGCCTCATGCTAATCTATGTATGTCAAATGCTCATAGAGGCCTCATGCTAATCTGTGTCTGTCAAGTGCTCATAGAGGCCTCATGCTAATCTGTGTCTGTCAAGTGCTCATAGAGGCCTCATGCTAATCTGTGTCTGTCAAGTGCTCATAGAGGCCTCATGCTAATCTGTGTATGTCAAATGCTCATAGAGGCCTCATGCTAATCTGTGTATGTCAAATGCTCATAGAGGCCTCATGCTAATCTGTGTATGTCACATGCTCATAGAGGACTCGTGCTAATCTGTGTATGTAAATTGCTTGCCACAAGTAAAAATATATTTGGTGTTTAAAGTAATTTTATAAAATATAAAACCTTTCAAATTCATGCAGATTGTATAAAGTAGGTGAGGTATAGAATATGAAAACAGTGAACACTGAATGCAATGTCAACATTTGGGAAAACAGATTTTGAATTGTCCAAAATTTGTCTCTACAGTGCAGGAAGAGTCAAAATTTTAATTCGAATCTTTTGAGATACTCATATACATGTTAGAGGTCATCACAATTCTGGTCTTTGTGATACATACAAGGTCCGACAATTAATTAATGAGACTAATTCCATAACAATAAAAATAATCAACAGTCAAAGATATAACCTGTATTTTATTCAAAGTAAGCCCCTTGTGCACTAATACAGCAAGTCGCACGATCTAACAAACACTGGAACGACCTCTGTAGTTCTTCTGTTATGGTCCTTAAAGTCGATGTTATGTCCCTTTGATGTCATCAGTATCGTCAAAAAAGCGTCCTTTCAAGGTAACTTTCATTTTGGGAATAGAAAATAATCAAAGGGAGACAAATCTGGGGAATAAGTTGGATGGTTGAGAACACACTTGTTTTGGGGCCAAAAATTCCTGTTTTGATGTCTGTTGGGTACTGAACCCGCTGACGTTTTTGGTCATCAGACAATGAATGCAGTACAAACCGGCAAGCAACTTTTTTGGGCCAAAATCTTGAACCAAAAAAAAATAAGAAGTGTCTCTCTATTACCACCAGATTCATCTGCCATCATCCCAACAGTAAAACAACGATCTTCTTGTATCCGTTTCAGTGACTTTTGCAATGAGTTCATCATTACAAACAGAAACTGGATGTCCAGGTCTAGTTGCATTAGTAATTATTTCTTCACCACTTTTGAATCGTGAATAACACCTGAAAATCTGTGCGCCAGATAAACAATTATCCCCATAAACTTGTCGCATGAATTCATCTGTCTCAATGGCGCTTTTTCTGAGTTTTAAACAGAATTTAAAGTCAGCTTTTTGCTCCGTGCTAATTTTGTAACAATGCACATCTAACTAGGTCAATAAAACAGGAGCTTATTTGTCGTTTGCTTATCAGGTGGTGATGCAAAGTTGCCAGATCATAGATGAAAGTTGCCTCTTTGGATTCCATTCTTTGCTTCATAGATGGCACTTTTGTCTTGGCGGTAATAAAATCAGTCTCATTACTTAATTGTCGGACCTTGTTTTAGTCAGATAGATATTCGCGCTGTTTCTTTAGAGGGTCATCTTTCAGAGATGTGGTTTTACAGAAGAATGCTTAGAATACCTTGGACAGCCAAAAAGAGCAACCAAGAGGTTTTGAAAGAGGCGGGAGCCCGAAGACAAATTATCACAGACATCAGAAGGAGACAGTCATCATTTTTCGGCCATGTTATGAGAGGAGGGAAAATAGAACATGTTGTGACCACTGGAAAGATCTGTGGAAGGAGGGATAGAGGAAGACAACGAGAGAAGATGCTTGACAGTCTTGTTGCATGGCATGGAGGTGTGGCGGCACACGAACTGATACATGCTGCAGGAGATCGCAGCTTATGGAGAGGCATGATCGCCCACGCCAGTCGGCAAGGCACCTGATGATGATGTTTCTTTCTTGCTTTTGTAATAAATCATTGAAACAGTTTACAAATGAACTTTATAGAAATCACCTCTTCACAGATTTAATGGCATTTGAGAGTTTGAACCTTATTCTCAAAAACATGTCCCAAGTTTGTGCATCTATAGTCTCAACTGATTTTGTCAACAGTTTCTCTCATAAACTGATCATGTTCATCAATTCAGGTGCTTTTACAGAATAAGATTCTACAACAAAGTCCTGCTGTTTACACAAAAGGAGCCAAGTATATCGTCCCTGGCCTAGGGCTTTCCTGCACGCAGACAATACGTGCTTGAGCGCCTGCTTAGCTCTTCAGAGTGGGCATGTCGAGGCCGATCCACTACGCAGCTTTTGGGAGCTGAGTCTCGTTTTCGGCGTCCCTTATCTGCTGTGTTAACACGTCTCTGCGCTCTTTGGTCATGCCTTTAGACCACCAATGACTTCTTTCAATTTCAGTGCTTCCTGAGCAGATTCTATCGCATCTAGGACTTTACATTTATGATAATTGTGTCATCCATAAATGCACACAGTGGTGGCATCCAGTAGTTCCCAATCTGAAGTCCTTGCTCGTAGCCAGCCGCTCCGTCTAACATGACCTACATGGCCTCTACGAACAGCATTGGCGAAATCGTACATCCCATTGCTATATAGATTTTTATGCCTGCAAATGCAACCCTTAGTCTTGGTCGAGGTTTCAACGTTACTGGAATGGGGTCACCCCATACTTGCTCCGTTCCGGTGCCAATGAAAATGAAATAAAATGTCCCTCACTGTACCTTTGGAAAAAAAAAACAACAACTTATGAACAAATAATTAGTCCCGGTACAATTCAGAAATATGTGCACGCATTAAATACTTATGGCAGTTGCTAGAGGTGTCAAAGCCAACAGTCACCACCAGAAATGCAGTTTGTCGGTAATGGAAGTAGTCGGACACGATAAGTTGCCTTACACATAACGTTTAACGCATGAGGTATTTCACCAGCCCATATGTAAACCGGGACACCATGACTCAATCGCTGCACAAACAAGAGGTAATCCACATGAAAAACACAGCTCACAGTGCTGCTAGAAGCACTAAGTAGTTCAGTGAAACTGTAGACTTCCGTCCATATGTGGAAAGTGCATTAGCAAAGCTCTGTTTGAAGCAAAAATAACTTTGAAGCAAAACATTATGACATGCCCAGTCCTCTGGACTGGAAGTTAGTCCTTCTTATTCAGCATTCCGAGCCCTTGAGTTTCAATGCTGCAGATATCACTTGCCTCCATTCACCTCTCTGGTTGGTTCTGTTTCGTGACGAAATGGAGGAACGTCGCTGTAGCTATGGAGTTGCGTGCGCAACGGCGACACAGGCAGACAGTTTCTTATCAGCTGTCCGTACTGGTGGCAGAGCACTTATGGATTATAACCGTGTGCAATTATGCTGGTTTTCGTCTCCCAACTTTACGTGACGAAATGAAGTTTTACGAGGGTGGGGGTGTCAGCCCCATGCTTCAACCCCCAACTTGGAGAACCTGGATGTCTCCGTTCTCTACCCTTCGACCTTTCCGGTCTGGGCCACTCACCCTGCTGGTAGCTATGCTACATCCAGCATAGTTCTTCGGGGGTCGTTGAGAAACACAAGCTCCCCCACCACGACAACGTGGAGACAAGGAAGTTAGTTCTGTATACTCAAATCCAACCCATCAGATGCAGACTCTGGATCCCTGGGCGAGCATTCGGGCATCAGTTATTGATTAGAGGCAACTAGTAAAGGTGTCCATGTTTCAACACATCACTAGAGGTGTCCATGTTTCAACA